CCCCCAAGGGTTTTTTCATTTAAAAACCCTGTGAAGGCTGTATCGCAATCTGACAATATTTCTACAATTGCCTGTCAACGGCATCCAAGGGGTGGATCATTGTGATACTTAGTTAATCAGTACCTTAAGATGATTTTAAAACCTGACCTACAAGTGACTCTGGTGCAAAACGTTGAAACCCCGACTATGACCATAGCTCACCATCAGTCTGAACACTGGTTTCTTGTTTTGAACCGCAGTGTGCACGGGCTACAAAGCCACACTCGGCGCATTGCTGTATTCATTTGGAAACGGCAGGGTATTCCAACAACACCAAAAGGTTACAACTAAATTAGTAAATATTTCCCTCCACACTGAAGGTTTGAACCGAATATTTAGAATTCAAAAGGAATTTGGTTTATTCGACAATTCCGCAGAATAGTTTTGTCCCACATAGCGCATAAAAAACAACCCATATTTAACCTTGGCCTATTTTTGTAGCCTGGTCCACCAGTTCGCATTATGCCTACCACTGAAAGTCGTGCCATATTTCAGTGTACAACAATGTGACAAGCCAACGGAAGTTTGCAGTTACATGTACTGTTTTTCTTAACTATTCTTCTATGGATCAACATATGGCAATGGATTCTTGATTCCTCGATCGTGTTGAAAAACGTGAACTTAATCATTATGTGAGGCGTGCTGGCAAAATGAGCTACTTCTCGCTATCCAAGAATGGAGATATCGGGCCGAAAATCAACATTGGGGTCACATTGATAGATTTTCAGTTGATGCCATTTTGCTCATGTCTACCGAGTCTTTTATTATTCCATACTTACAAATTGAACAAACTCCACCTTTAAGTTGATGTATCAATTTCCATGCGGCTAAAATCCAAAAAAAGTAACTCCTTTTGTCAGCACACCTCACATATCATCAATGACATTCGGTTCAGTTGCGAAGCTCATTTTCACCTTTCGGGAATATGTAAACTCAAAAATTGCTGGGTCCTAAGAAGGATATGAGGAGCACTGGTTCAAGGAATTCTAGAATAGAAATGTTAGTCTTTAAAAACTCTTCCAGAGAAACGAAATTACTGTTTTACAGGAACAAAAAAAAATGTTAAAGTAAACAGAAAGAGAAAAGGCAAACCAATCATTTCATGACTTTCCTTAAACGATTTCTTTAATTGTTGCATTTTGCGTTTCTGAGCGTTTTCGAAAATACGTTTCTTTTTAACGGATTTTATGTCTAACAAATTCCTTTTTGAATTATTTACGTCTGTTCCAAATCACAATATTCTAGAACAATTTTTGTGAAAGATAATGACAAAAAAGTTGTGAAGTTTGTTGGGGGTTTTGTTTTTGTTCTTTGTTTGTTTGTTGTTGTTTTTTTATTGTTGGTTTTTTTTTTGGGGGGGGGAGGTGGGGCTTTTACTTGGATCACCATGTACAGCTCTTGATGTCTCGCCAGTTCAGACGGACTTTCAGACACAGAGTGCCAACAAATAAATAGTCGCCGCAGAGATGATTTCTTTATTGTAGTCTGGGATAAAATCTGTTCTAGATTTTAAAAGTATGGTGGAAAATGAAAAAGTTGTAACATTCAGAGTATGATCTTAAAATGGATTAGTTCTTTCTGGGCCAGAAAGAGGCACACGACACAGAAACGGCGCTTTACTCTCGTATTTTAGACATAAAGGCGTATAGATGTAAGACACACGAAACAAAAATAGTTTTTTTTTAACTAGGGCCTGCGCCATTTTGAAGTTTGAATGATGCTGTGATCCCTTAACAGACCCCGATTAAAAAATTGAAGTAATGATTAATTCTTTTCACTTCGAGGCTGAATGTTACAGGTGTGAAATAAATAATACTTTTGTACCACATCAGAAGCGCTCTTCTTCATCACCATCATCAAGTGCCAGATCTGCGATAGAGATCGGTGATCATGGTTCGCCAATCATGTCTTTGCTAAGATCCTTCCCCGTCATCCATCTTTTTAGGCTTTCCAAGTAAGCTGCTCTAAAACTACCCATGATTTGTTTGCCTTCAATTTCAGTAGTAAGAGCAAGATGTTCAAGGCCCTTATGTCTTGCCAAGTGTCCCACAAACTTCATCGTCTCTTCCACAGAACTTTTATCAGCGAGCAATCTACGTTGGCTTCTTCAAGTAGGCCTACTGCCTCATTTTATTTCTTTTACTTCCAAGAAATTCTCGACATTCTCCCTTGAAACCACATTTCTGTTGTACTTTCGCTGTCTTTTGAGATTGTCTAGCATTCACAAAGATACAGAGGGGTTGACCAAACATAACCATTATTAAGAACTCTTTAGTAGTCATTGAGATGTTCCTATTTTTCCAATATTGGATTTATTTCATTGAAACAATCTTAAGCCATTGCAATTCTTAATTTCATGTCTTTGAACATTTAGCATCAGATGTTTTATATATATATAT